AAACAAAAAAAAGTCACAAAATGACTGACAGTCATTTTGGTGTCACCCCCTCTAAAAAGCACTCGGTCATGGACTGAGAGCCTGACAGTGTCAGGAGAGATGAGGGGACCCGGCAGCATACTTCATCCCGCCGGGTGAACATCCCCTCCTCTCTCTGCCGGCGCTCATCACCAAGATGGCCACGCATGCGTGATGACTTTACTGTGCACGAGCGACGTCAAGCACACGCGCGATGGCAACACAGCGTGGTGTCACCCGGTCTAAAGACCAGGTAATACCTGGCCTCGGGAGGCCCCTGTGTGCAACTACAAGTCCCATGAGGAACTGCAAGACTTTGACAGCCATAGGCATCACTCCCAGAGGCAGATGCATGATAGGGTTTGTAGTTCTACCACAGCTGGAAGGCTGACGTTTGCCTACCACTGCTCTATAGTATTTCCCTTCACTCCTCCCCCCACAGCTACATAAAAGGTTATGTGGTGAGGTGAGGTGAGGAGCTGAGTCATCACAGACAGTAATCAGATACTTCTAGAAGAGAAGAGGGCTTTGATGTGCAGGGAGAGAGGGGGCTGTGCTAAGGAATTGACTCTCCTGGAGCAGTCAAATTGTCTAGCACATTCAAAGGCACATTACAAGTAAATAAGACATCTTTGATGGAAATGAAAAACCATGCTAAATAAGCAATGTGATTTTTCTGTGCTTTTGTCTGCATTTATTTTCAGTTGATGACAGGGTCTCTTTAAAGTACACCTGTCTTTAGAGAATTAGATTGCTACTGGAGATCTCTCCTTTTTGAGGATCCAAATTCCCTGACTGTCATGATAATATTTTCTACACTTTCTAAGTCACTGGCCCTCATACAAGTATAGTGATAAGTGACATTGCTACAAACACTATATAATATCCCGCATTATACTAGATACAAAATACAATATAATATAGAGTATTAGACACGTGCACCAGCAAAAACATTCTTTTGTTTCGTTTTGATTCGGATTTTGCGATATTTCGTTTTTCAGGATTTGGGTCCGAAAGTCAATTCGGTTTGGATTCGGACGAAATTCGTTAGCGGCAGTCTGTACGTTTTCGTTACGTTTTCGTTGCAGCACAGTGATATTAAAAAGAAAAAATGTTTTTTTTTACTTTAATGTCACTTTGCTGCAACGAAAATTCGTCCACCAACGAAAATTCGTACAGATTACCGCTAACGCATTTCGTCCCAAATTTCGTTTTTGGAAATTCGGATTTGTTTTCATTCGTCATTTCGGTTATTCGGAAATTCGGATACATCCGAACCTCCGAATAACAAAAATTCGCCCGAAAAACACATTTTTCTGAAACGAATCGCACATGTTTATAGAGTATTACATGAGATACGAACTTCTATATAATATACAGCACTATATACAAGATACTATATACTCTACAGTTTTAATTAGTTCAATTGGATACACCGATCAGCCATCACATTATGACCACCCTCCTAATATTTAGTAGGTCCCTCTTTGGCTGTCCTGACACGTCGTGCCATGCACCAAGCCGTCAGTGATACAGCCACAGCCTATCACAAGTGTCCATCTTTTTCTTTTGAACCAGCAAGACAAAATCTTCATATGGAAAGATTTTGTTAGATCTTCCAAGCATTTCCCTGTGGTCAAAGTCAAATCAAACATATACGGCTTATTTATTGAATTGACAATAAGTTATAGGCACAAAGTGTTCATGGAGAAAGGTGGCAAACCATCATCAAAGTCTGCAACTTGGACTTGAATAGAAAATGACCACCAGAAACATCCTTCCAGGCAGTTCATCCTGGAATTCATCCCACAATATATCACATATATATATATTCAGGGCTGGATTTACTCTCCCTGCTGCCCCAAGGGCAGGTTCATCAATGCGCCCCCCTACCCGCCAACCCCCCCATGGAGAATGGCAGACCTGCAGGCTGCATACAAGTGATCTTGGCGACATCGCCGAGATTACTTGTACAAAACAAGTGGTGGCTTCCCCGCTGTACATTTAGCTCTGCTTGCCCAAAGCAGGGCTAAATGTAGAAAACAAATCCCTGCCCGGCGCCCAGAACTGCATGTCCCGGGCATTGGAAGATAGGAAATTCACACCCCTGCTGCCCCTCTACTCCCTGCTACCCCGAGGCCTGGTCTTGGTTGGCCTAGTGAGAAATCTGGCCCTGTATATATTCTGGCCCTGTATATATTGTGGTATTGTGTGGAACTGAAACTGGGTGTTGTAGTCACCCAGGACGCTCAGCCAGAGGGGCTGAGCAGTTCCAGGGAACAAAATCTTTTGCTGGGAAAGAACTAGCTTTGCAGTTCTCTCCAGGTTTTCTGGATTTGACGTGGGATCCCGGGACAGGGAGATTTCTAAGAGAATTGGGAGGGATGAAATCTCCATTCCTGGGTCCATTGCTTAGTAGTGGCCAGCACCTAATTGCACACCTGTGCACAGCACTTATGGGGAGGGTGCTGGCTAATGTTCTGGGCTCCTGCTGGGAAGAGGGACAGGTTGTGTCCAGGAGTCAGGCGGACGCCACCTAAAAGTCAGAGGGGAGCCAGGTGGTTGTGTGTGCTGGAGGCACCAAGGAATCAACCAAGAAGGCTTAGTGAGCCTGTGACACCCAAGGGATGTGTGGAAGAGTCACATTGAGTATATGTGACAATGTTGAGTTGGTGAGACATGGTTATAGAGTTATTGACTACTTGCTGAAGTATAAGCAGACAATATACACTATTATACTAGGTATACAAGGTGCAGTATAGACATTTTAGGTTATTGTAGCACCCTTTTCCCCCAGAAAAAAAGTTCACTGATGTCACGTTGAAGACAAATTCCAAATCTCATTATCTTCTGTAAACTCATTAAGTCTCAGAAGCAGCAGACAGGCCACACAGGTGTTGCACCGCTCTATTCTAGCAGGCCAGACACAAGTGTAGGATTATGTATTATATGGTGTGAGATTGTGACAATAGGTGGGTCCCTTCAGCTGACTTCACACCTTGTACAATATATGGATGTGTAAGAGACGGGCACACCCCCTGAGCAGTGTCTGTGTCTGCTGACTCATATTTTCTGTAACCTGCACATGAGCGTCTGGTGACAACTACGACACTTCTTCTGTGTTACTGATTATTAATGTTGAATAAAAGCTTATTTCATGAGATGATGCAAACTGTAAGTCAAAATGATTGCCAAAGTATAGTAGTTAGGAGTCTATAGCAATGAAAGATGAATTTTGATTGGTCATTGTGGTTTACTACAGTTTGCACTTTGCATTATTAGAAGGTGACTGCACACAAAACGGATATTTTACATTTTTGGTGGATGCTGCAACCCCTGGTGATGAGTTTCCAGATCTGCTGTGTGCAATATGAGGGGCTCCCACCATCCCTGCACTGAGTTCCTGGGTCTGTACACCTGCTGTGCCCATTATGAGGAGCTCCCACCATCCCTGTGCTGAGTTCCTCGGTCTGTACACCTGCTGTGCTCATTATGAGGGACTCCCACCATCCCTGCACTGAGTTCCTGGGTCTGTACACCTGCTGTGCCCATTATGAGGGACTCCTACCATCCCTGTGCTGAGTTACTCGGTCTGTACACCTGCTGTGCCCATTATGAGGGACTCCCACCATCCCTGTGCTGAGTTACCCGGTCTGTACACCTGCTGTGCTCATTATGAGGGACTCTCACCATCCCTGTGCCGAGTTCTTGGGTCTTTACACCAGCTATGCCCATTATGAGGGACTCCCACCATCCCCGTGCTGAGTTACCAGATCTGTACACCGGCTGTGCCCATTATGAGGGACTCCCACCATCCCTGTGCCGAGTTGCCAGGTCTGTACACCTGCTGTGCCCATTATGAGAGACTCCTACCATCCCTGTGCCGAGTTACCAGGTCTGTACACCTGCTGTGCCCATTATGAGGGACTCCCAGCATCCCACCCTACCACGACATAGCCAGGGTTGGAGATCCTTTCGGCTCTGTAGCAGTCTGCACTATGCAAAGTGGAGGGGGGAGTGGTAATTAAAAGGATAAAGCTATGACTTGTAAATACATCTTTATTTCTCTTTATATCAGCACACAGGAGTGGCAGCCAATTACCTTCTTCTCCAACTATATGGGAACAGTAGGAAGGAAATCCATGGTTTAGGAAATAACTGATGTATCCCGGCTCTTCCTTATCACTGGATACACACAACACATAATACACGGCCAATGTTCAGACATGTACCAATGACACTGCAGGCTGGGGGAGAGCTGCCATAGACAGTAGCCTGGTAAAATAGATCTGCACAAACCAACTTTAATGCTGATGGCCAATAGATAGATAGATAGATAGATAGATAGATAGATAGATAGATAGATAGATAGAGTAGATATATAGGTATTAGACAGATAGATAGGTGATAGACAGACAGACAGACAGACAGACAGACAGACAGACAGATAGATAGATAGATAGATAGATTGTAACAATTGTGTACCACAATACCACATGATATGATATACCTTATACTATACTGTACTATGTGATACTATACCTTCCCCTACTATATTGCACTCTAATAGACTCTCTTGTATGGTTTAGTATTTTTATAGCCCAGATTTGCCCCTAATTGATTTAAGCTGTATTTATAGGTTGGGGTCTTTGGGTCTTCTTGGTGGATGTATTGAGCTCATGAAGTGTGCCTTCACCCCAGGGATGTGTATTCCATCCTATTGTGTCCTCCTCCCAGCAGGAAATAATGACTGGCCTCTCTAACCTGCTGACAATAGAGTCTACCTGCCTGCCACCTCTGCCCCCCATCTTCACACTCCTCAGGGCACATTTCACACCTCATTACTTTGATCAGTCTGGCCGGGCCTGCAATATGTTTATAAGAATGCAGAGTGCCAGGGAGCAGGCACATCAGTCAGTTCAGAGGAAAGGATAGCACAGTCCAGAGGAAATCAAGCAGAGTAGAGCACAACCAGCTGGAGGATGGCTGGATACACCCAGGACACTGAGGACTACTACCCAGCCTGCTTCTCATCCAGCCCCAGCCAAATTACCTTCACCGACCCCCAGGCCCAGTATGGTGGGCTCAGTCTGGCCTCACTGCAACAGAAGGACTTTCAGCAAGCCTGTGTAAAGGGTAAGTCTATTCACTATTCAACCAAATGCACAATGATGGAGATGTGTCTGACTCAGCAGAGTCTTTTAGTCTTTATTTTTGCAAAATAATGCATCTACTAGTGTTGGACATGTTGTGTTTCTCTGTGGTCCTTGGAGCTAGAAGTCTTAGCAATGTCGTACCAGATGCTGGTTAGGTAAAAGAAAATAATTTGTAAGTTTTGAGTCAGTCCACCAAAAGTGTATTACTATTATGATTACTGGTTAAGGCTGGTGAGACTGCTGAGACTTGTAGCTCTTCAGGTACATGTGAGCCACAAAGCATCCGAGCCTCCTTTATCACGTAAAGTGATCTCGGTCTTCATTGCATTCTAACCCACTGACCTAGAACAGGCATACAGATAGTCAGAAGCTCTGGCTATCTGTATGCCTGTTCCAGGCCAAGGACTTAGAAATAATTAAAGCACGGTCATAATGGGCAATGTTCAAAAAATATCTCTATAGCTCCAAATTGGCCCGTTGTGGTTGCCCTCCTATTCTTGCCAGTGTTGTTAGCTATGGGCACCCATCATCTAACGTCTGCATGTAACCCAACAGCTTGTGTTGTATTGCTACATAACACCTATATACTGTAAGTACAGAGATTCAAAAAAACTTTTTATTTTACCTGCAGAAGAGATAAAGGAAGAGACCATCAACAACCAAACATCCATCCAGTCCTCGGCATCGAAGAAGAATGTGAAGCGTAACAAGCAGGTGCCAGTCACCTCGCCCACAGCTATGGAACAAACCGCTATATCACAGCGCAGGAAGAGGACGGTGTACAGCCAGGAACAGCTGGATGTCTTGGAGGAGTTCTTCCAAAGAAACATGTACCCAGACATCCACCACCGAGAAGAACTGGCCAAGCGAATTTATATCCCCGAGTCCAGAATCCAGGTATGTGGATAATTGACCAGCTTCAATGGGTTTATTTGTTGCACAGACACAAGAACCCTTCATTATATTTTTTGAAGTCTAATCACACAGTTTTTTTTATGTTCTTCTCCTCCTTGTTCTAGTAATACTCTTGTACCTGCTCTACAGTCTCCCCCTTTACTTCTTTAAATGCACAATTTAATTACGGGATGCACATCCTGCTCCAGATGTTCCTCCTCCTTACTAATACTCCTACCCTTTAACTGTTCAACCAGAACCTTGTGCCCGCCTCCTTTACCCGCTCTTCTTCATAGTTTTATAACCTAATGCTCCTCTCAAAGTGGCCTGGCCTACTGTCCCTTCATCTTTCTTCCTTTCTTGGTGGTGGTGGCAGTATCAGTCTATTGTCAACTGCATACATTGGATTTTGTCTTGCCTTCTATTTTCATAGTTCTGTATTCAGTTTTTGCAGGGACACTATCATAGTTATTCCTGGAGTAAAAGACTTAATTAGGGTAATAGTGACTTTTTATAGCAGTTAAGTAACTACAATCCCCAAATCAGTCATTTCTCAGGTTGGCAATGTTACTTTGCATATTTTGCCAAATCTATTTTGTGGAACTCAATTTCGTTTTTGATAGGTTTGGTTCCAAAACAGGAGAGGAAAGGCCAGACGAGATAAAAGCAAATCCACTTATTTCACCAATGCAAGCATGGGGTATTCCAACATTCGACAACCAGGGAACATATATTCTACAGCATCAACAACAAACCGTCCAATGTCTGCCTCTGAACAATCCCAGCTCATGGTTCCCCAGCAACAGCCCATGATGAATGTAACCCAAGAGGTGTATAACCAAGCTCCAGAGTCTACTCCCTTCCCCCATTATTCCTGTCCAGTTCCCCGGGAGAGGTTTATGATGCAGCAGGCCTCACCCAACCCATACCAACAAAATATACAGCACAGCAACCAACAGCACTTGTACAAAAATATGACCCCAATCATGAGCCCCAAGGCAATGGACCTCAGCAGAAGACCCTATAGGTTGCCTTCAGAATCTGACTATATGATGGACTTCAATAGCTACCCTCCCAACAAGACCATCACACCAGAGATGAGTGTTAACATCCCACCAATCCCGCCATCTGCTGCAACAAGGAGCCACAGTGAAGTCAACCCTTTTACCAGACAAACCCCATACTCAATGCCAACTCTGCATGATGACTACTACAGGGAAGGGTCTGAAACTGATTCTGGTGTCAGTGACAGGTCTCCAGATTCTGCTTCTGATTCTAAAGAAAGCATCTCTTCTGTCCTCTCTAGCCTGTGAACTGGTGAACACCACAATTAGTTAAAAGAACTGAGGAGAATTTGTTTATAATGTAGTTAGAATATATATGATGTCACTCTGGACCGTAGGGAAATCCCAATTAAACCTCTTAGTTTTAAGAAAGGAGAAAGTCAGCTTAGTCCTCCTCAGTATCCGGTTCTTGCTTGGTCAAAGCTTCAGCGTATAAAGCTATCATAGAGCTACGTGAAACCCTAATATACAATTGTACTATGCGCTTATGCAAAAAAATCCTAATATTTTATGATTACATGACTTTTAAGTGTTAGGATCCATCACTGACCCAATGTAATAACTTGTTCATAACACGTAATTCTAGTTTTTATTAGACGGATGTCATATTTTTCTTTTACATTGTTTTGTATATATGTGAGATTTTTTTTAAATAAAGTTTTTAAGAGTATTGTACGTGTATTTTTGCTGCACAGATTTCAGATTATTGTCGTGCAAAGAACACTGTACAGCAGTCCATGGCAGCCATTCATAAATGACATGTCCTTGGTCTGAGGGCACTACACAGCTGAAAGGTGAATTCTGTATATTCCAGGCTGCTTTATTAGCTTATTAAACTAAACCATTTTGTGTGGTGTGAGAAGAAGTTGGGATAAAAACTAGTGGCGTCACAAGGGGGTGCGGCACGCACCCGGGTGACATCATTGTGTCACCATTGACACCCATGGGAGGTGACAGTCATTTTGGTGTCACCTACTCTAAAAAGTCGGGCTCTCAGGACCAAGAGCCCGACAGTGTCAGGAGAGAGGAGGGAACTCAGCGGTATACCTCATCCCGCCGGGTGAACGTCCCCTCCTCTCTCTGCCGGTGTCCATCACCAAGATGGCCACCAGGCAGGCGTCAATTAGATGACGGCGCATGTGCGATGATGTCACTGTGGGGTGTCACCCAGCCGTGGGACACCCCTGATAAAAAAAGAACATTTTCAAAATGTTAAATGATTTAGAAGCAGGTAGAGAACTAGCAAATACTGATCTTTGGATAGGTGAATTGAATTACTTAACCTTAAGGCTCCATTCACACTGGGGCGGCTGTACAACCGAATACGCGTGGAGCTGCACCACACAGAAAAAAACAATGCACTTAAATGTGCATTGTTCAGACTATCGTGGAGTCCCCAAAATAGTGCAAGCTGCTATATAATGGTTGCAAACGATTGGAATCTGTGCAGTTGTTTCACATATGGTGTTGCACGGAAAACCACGTGGGAAACGCAAACGCTATATGTGAATGGAGCCTTATAACTAGTTTTTAGTCCGCAAGATGTCTGTGGTCATTTCCTGACACCTGAAGATCTCCAAATAGGGAGGACAGAGGGAGGGAAATTTACATTATCACACCTATCTCACCTGCTTGTTACACTAATCCTCCCTGTAACTCTAACACTAGCCCTACTGGTGCATTAACACTTGTTACTGTAATGCTAACACTTACCCTCCAAGTACCCAAATCTCACTGTAACTCTAACAGTAACCCTCCATGTACCCAAAACTCCCTGCAACCCTAACATTAACCCTCCATGTACCCAAATCTCCCTGTAACCCTAACATTAACCCTCCATGTACCCAAATCTCCCTGTAACCCTAACAGTAACCCTCCATGTACCCAAATCTCCCTGTAACCCTAACAGTAACCCTCCATGTACCCAAATCTCCCTGTAACCCTAACATTAACCCTCCATGTACCCAAATCTCCCTGTAACCCTAACATTAACCCTCCATGTACCCAAATCTCCCTGTAACCCTAACATTAACCCTCCATGTACCCAAATCTCCCTGTAACCCTAACATTAACCCTCCATGTACCCAAATCTCCCTGTAACCCTAACATTAACCCTCCATGTACCCAAATCTCCCTGTAACCCTAACAGTAACCCTCCATGTACCAAATCTCCCTGCAACTCTAACAGTAACCCTCCATGTGCCAAAATCTCCCTGTAACTTTAACACTAACTAGACATGTGCATTCGGATTCAATGACATTCAGTTGATTCGGTGGTTCGTCCGAATCAGAAATAATGAATTTTTTATATGCCCGAATATACTTAAATGATATACGGGCATATAAAAATTGGTTATCAGAACGCACGGCGGCCATATTGGCCACAAGCGCATTCTGCGCATGCTCACCGCCATCTTGGAGGCGGGTGCATAACGTCACATGAGCCACACCTGTGCGGCGTTATTTGCAGAACAAGTGGCGGCCGATTTGGCTCAGCGTGTTCTGCGCATGGGCGTCGCCATTTTGGAGTTTATCTTGGTATACACCAAGATGGCGGTGCCCACATAGTCGGGTGTCGCCATCTTGGTGTATACCAAGATATACTCCAAAATGGCAGCATGCATGCACAAAATGCACTGGTGGCTGATATGGCCACTGCTCGTTCTGCAGTTTCGGATTCTGAGGTTTGTTGCCTCCAAATCCGAAACAGCCTTAAAATTTGTTTCCATTGACAAAACAAATGAAAATGTTGCTTGGCTGCTGGCTCTATTCATTCTAAAGGTGCCCACACACCTGACAATTATCGTACGATAATCGGCAGGTGTATGGGCAGCGTGCGACCGCATTTAATGTATGGTCGTACGATTTTCGGCGGGTTGATAGCGCAACCACAAGACGAAAGCCGCGCGGCCCCGAGGTGCGCAAGCGCACACTGCCAGCTCACCATTGCAATAATTATAATCTGCAAGCCCTCCCCTCAGCAGGGAGAACTTGCGATGATCGCAAATACAATCTGCCTGTCTATGATGGGCAGGTCGTACAAACTTTTAATCACCTTACAACCATCGCACAATGAAAGTCGTGCAATGATTGTAAGGTGTATGGTCACCTTAAGATTTTCAGCTGATCGAGGGATGCTGGCCAAAGGGTGCCGACAGCAGCACCCACTGTGCCAGTTTTGGCTGGTCCATGAAGACATTCCCGAAATGTACATAGTGTATGATCACCCAAACTCAGAAGGCATTAAATCCAAAAAGTCATCAAAACCACCAGGCAACCAACATATACACAGGGAGGTCAGTAATGGCAGCTCACTTATTTCCCCTAAGATACTTGTTCATATGTTTACCAGGATAACTTTAACTGCTTTGGTACAGAGAGGAACTAGTGAAGCTCAGGTTACACACACAGCTGGATACGTCAGAGAAGTGACTCAGCAGTCCCCTTTCTTCTCTGCTGCTGCTGGACTCTTTCTCTCTTTAGAAAAGTCATGCTGCTCTGTGAATGAATAGTGATGAGCGCGCCCTTCATTATATGTTTATATGCCATACAGCAAAGATTTATATAAAAAGTAAATGTTAACAATTAATAATAAGTGACAGTCAGTGGACAATTCACACCTCTCCTCTTCCCTGGCAGACTGACTGGCACCTGCGGACTGTTGGGTGTGGGCCGTGCCATCAGTCTATCAATGAGCCCAGTGTAAGGCCATGCTGGAGGTGTGAATCCTGACGCTCATGCCCTCTGACTGCGAATTACTAAACGGGCCGTGATGACAAAATTACAAAAAGTAAAATAGATTTTAAACACATTGATAAATAAGTAAGTAAATATTCCAGAAGACATTTAACACCAAGCTGGCACTACAGGGGGGGGGGGGGGGGAA